TCCATGGAACGACGTATACGTGCCCAGCTGTACGTTTGCGAACATTTTGCACAAAGATTCTCGTTGCACCCGTCTCTTTACAATAATTCGACCGAATGCTTGACAAGTATCAGCCAGGGTCCGACGGCGACGTTTCGATAGGCGCACACCGTACGTCGACGATCCTCGGTATGCGTACGTATAGGCAAAGTTGACGATACAACGTATTATTAACGGCAGGCGATCTATATGAGCTACGTACTTGTTTGTACTCCGACAGGAAAAGTGTGGCGGCGGGCAAGACTGCCGCCCCGTTATACCTCAGTCTCCCGAATGGGTTCCGCTGGCTAACAAACCATACAAATCATACCATCAGTCTTAATCTCTATCCTCGGCATCGATACGTTTTGCAGCGTGTTGTAGTTTTTAGATTGGCGTCAGTATTCTTGCTTACTCTGGCGTTTGTGTCTTTGACGTTTGTCCTGTCTTTTGGAAGGGTTCTGTGTACAGGCAAGCTCTTCTGCTGTCGAAGCTCTGCTGCAGGCTTGTCTGTGCGTCGAGTATTTGGAGGTGTGTTGATATTGATTCTGTCGTTTGGAAGGGTTCTGTGTGCAGCTAGCCAAGCGCCTCGGCTGTCGAACGTCTGCTGAAGCTTACAGGCTTGTCTGTGCGTCGTGTGGTAGGATGTATTCCCTGTTGCGGTGGTCCATGGAACTCGAGGCGTGCTTTAACGTAGACGCGAGGAGACTCTTGATCTTTAAATCCACTAATTCTGCTTGTAAGCGTGGCAACTCAAGGCTTGGTGTTTAAGGCTTCCTACTTTTAAGCATGGGAACTCAAGGCTTGGTGTACGCTTCCTACTTTTAAGCATGGAAATCCAAAGCGTAGTGTACAACTCTTCCTGCTTCTAAGCGTAGTAACCCAAGGCTTGGAATACAACTCCTCCAGCTTGTAAGCGTAGTAACACAAGGCTTGGAGTACAACTCTTTCTACTGTTAAGTCTGGTAATTCAAGGCTTGGTGTACAACGCTTCCTATTTTTAAGCATGGAAATCCAAAGCGTAGTGTACAACTCTTCCTGCTTCTAAGCGTAGTAACCCAAGGCTTGGAATACAACTCCTCCAGCTTGTAAGCGTAGTAACCCAAGACTTGACATAAAGAAGAATTCTTCAGAACTTAGGGAATCATAGGTTCTGCACCAAGCTTAAACATAGCTTCCTAAATATGGCAAAAGGTATAAATAAATATTAAAAACCGTACGGATCTTTGCCATGGCCTCTAAGACAATAGCGTCAAGGAAAAAGCTGAGCAAAAATACCTTTGTCAAAGTATCCTTAAATCTCTTTTTAGAGACTGTTCTTGCTACAGTTCTAATCATTTCTATCTACAATCTTCCAAGCAGGTCTTCCTCGCTATATCTTTCATCTATAGCCTTCTTACAGCTAACGTGAAACCGCCTCGAGTTCCCGCGTGGCTCTCCTTCGTCAGGTTTAGGCGTGGCCCGTCGTGTGTAAGTAATGTAAATGTGAACTGACCACCAGGTATCCTCGGTATTCGTTCAATGAGAGCTTCAGCTGTCGTATACACGGCGAACGGACAGACACAAACAAACAGACAGCATACTTGTGCACGTAACATACGCAACAGCACACTCACGCACATCGAGAAGGCGCACGATGCATTTGGCACATACCACCATTAATTTGGGTTAATGGTATCACAGCAAACGGAACACTGCAACGATTAAGAACAGAAATAAGAGACAAAGGAGCAAAATCAAGGTCTGACGGACGCGGATAGCTCGTTTCGAAGTTTCTCCATTGGTGATGGGAAACGGAGCCTGATAAGTGATGTATTCTGGTAAATTATGGGACCATTTACCAAATTTTTCTATGATCTGGACTTCCTTGCGCAAAGTCCGCATGCAGTGAGCTCACACACGCATAGCACACGTACAAGGTACACCCTGGTGCTGCTCTTTTCCTCGAATCCATCGAGAATGGAGGCCTGGAGGAGCTTCTGTAGGAGAAGCTTTCTGCCTGTGGAAACTTAAGCCAGTTTATTAAAGAAGGCGATGACTCTTTGTGGAAGAGAAGATTCATTGGCTGTTTCTGACTACGATGGGGAGGATGCGTTACTCGAAATTCAAGTTTAAGTTAGGAAAAGTAAGAAAATGATGTTTACTTAGTTGATTTTTACAGCAGAGACACTGATCTTTCGCTTTGGAAACTTTAATCGAATGTTTACTCCTTTTCTATTAATTACAGATAAAATTGTATGTTGGTTGTTCCGTGATATTAATTTATATGTTTGTAAGTGGAATAAGATTACTCCTTTTTTTTTATTAATTACAGATAAAATTGCAAACATGTTGGTTATCTTGTGATATCAATTCATATGTGATACGTTCGTATATGTGGAATAAAATGGCAAGCATGTTCATCGGAGAAACGTCTAATCTATTTAAAAAAACTTCCCACGGATGAATAAAAATGTAATAAAATTCATGTCTCTCACATTTCGATTATCAAACGGTTAGAACACAAACGTTTATGCAAATTGTAGATGCAGAAAATGAATTCAACCTTAAATCAAAGTTTGTCCTGTCTTCTGAATTTCTAGCATGTACACAGTCTATTAACACGTTCACTGCCAGACTAAAACTCTTGAAAATTTCTACCGTGTTTAAATTTTCTTTACAGACTTTTGGAAACTGCGTAATGAAACATTTATTTTAGTATTTGGTTTTGTAACTTCATCAAAATTCAAGTATTTCATTTAAATTCATTTTCTATGACACTTAACTTTTAGAATTAATAGTTTTCGTTTTTCAGTGAAAAGCACTGTCACCCATATATGGGTGAGGTGGCGATCAACGTGTTAATATGATATACTGATACACAATTTTCGACTACCTAATACCATGTTGAATTTCGAGTAGCACACAAACTCCTCATCCTAGGTCGAAACCCAGGGAATCGGCTCGATTCGTCGTCCTCGCGATCACAACGACTGATCACCTTCCTCGGCCAAAGCTGGCTTAAATTTTCCTACCATCGACACGAACGAATGGCTACACTTTCATCTCTGCCTATGAGTCGATAATGTCCTTATGTTGTCTTGTAACATGTTTACGCAGGAGCTTGGCAAGCCTTTCAATAACAGAATAGCGTTTTTGCGAGCGATGTACAATAATAACACTTGATACGTTTGCGTCTAGGTGCTTGGGCATTTCCTTCGGAGAGGAATTTTCGTCGTTTCGTGGAGTATTCTGTAAACGCGTGGCAAACGAGGAGCTCCTTCATGAATTACTGAAGCCTCGATAACGCGAGAGGTCCACTTGCCCTCGAAAAAAAAAAAACAAAAGAACTTCGTCGACGCTGTTCCACCATTGTCAACACTGTTCACATTGTTTACGTATACTCGTCGACATCTGTTTACTCTCCAATATACTTGTGGAATAAACTAGCAAATACGCTGGTCGTCTTAATTTATATGTTTATACCAAACAGAGGCCTTATTGGTACCCTGTATACTTTCATCGACTCTTCTGATATAATTTTGTAATAAAATTTGGAGGAATGTTGGATGTCTTGTGATATAAATTTGTATGTTTGTACCAATTAAAGGCTTTATTGGTGTACTGTA